TATGCCAATCTAAGTCTAGACTTTGGTCACTCACCAAACTGCAGTCAGCATCGAGGTTCAGGTCCATAGTAACAGCATCATGGTCCGCCACAACAGGATTTACAACGGTGACAGTGTAGTCCCATGAATTTAACGAGGTGGCAATAGTGTCCAAGCAATACCTCCCTCGAGTAGGAGCGTGGTTGGTTATGTACATACCAAAACTCTGGAGAATGTGTCTGAAGGCAAAACACAAGTTGTCCTCCACGTTTAAATGAATATTTACATCGCCCCCCAAAATTATCGGCATATTCAGTCTACTTAAGTACGTTAGACAGTGATCCAATTTTTGGAAGAAAACATCTGTCATGCCATCCAGAGATCTATAAAGCGATACCACTATGATTGAATATTTTAGTAAAATAACTCCTGACAACTCAATATCCAATTCATTACAGAAATTTGCAAGGTCCAATGGTTTGTGAGCAAGACTTGGCTTCAAGTACACTGATGTTCCGCCATTTTTATTATTAGAGCGATAATATGCAGAGGCTAGCTTAAGAGTATCAATATTGGCAAAATAATTTCCTTCATCACTATTTAGGTGGTGCTCACATAAGCATAGCACATCTGGATAAGTATTCTTCACAAATGCTTCAACTAGATTTATCTTGGTCCTCAAGCATTGGACATTACTAAAAGTTAGTTTTAGCCCTACTCTACGGCTACTATTTATTGCACTATTTATACTAACAGTTTGATTTGAATTTGGGTTAGGCCTAGGCCTACTCACAGTCTTACAGATACTATTTACACTAGTTTCAAAGATTGCTATCCCAGATTTGGGTTTCTTGTCCTTTTGAATAAAAAACGTTTCACTAGAGAGCCTTTAGGCCATGCTGCACTGTCATACAGAGCGTCTTTTTGGTCAAAATCAACACCCAGTTTAAAGCTTGAATATATTCCTTTGTTTTCTAGTTTCTCAACTGATATATCCATACCATTAAAGGTTTCTTGAAGAAATTTTTTGACGTCTTCTTCGCCGGTTTCCTCCTTTAGCCGTCCCAAATAAACCCAAGCCTTCTTCACTCCAGCACTTAGACTCGTACATGTACTTGTTCCGATAATTACTTGGCGATCTTGGCGTTCTTTAACTCGAGAATCTTGATCCGATTTGGGATCGGCAGCCATATTTCGATTTTCATTTCCATAGCTTTCATTTCGGTTTCGGTTGTTGTTACTCCGTACAACCCTATCATTTTTCGGCTGCGATGGTGGGTAGCGTTTTGTGTCATGTAGCTGCCCGCCACCAGCACGGACACTTTTGGTTTTAGTTGATCTTAGAACTTCTGTGTAACTACGTCTTGCGTTTATATTAGAGCTTTTTTCTTCGCTCTGAATTGTGCTTATAGACTGTGCTGCGTTTTTATCTTCATCATTCCCGCTCATAGTGTGGTAGTTTTGCATAGAAGTTTCATTCGGTGGGATTTGGACCGATTTTTGCCCATTCGATACTTGCTTGGTCGATACATCGATTTGCGAAGTCGATAACGAATCTTCAATCGATCTGAGCTTATCTTTATCTAGTAAACTTAACCTCTCATAGTTGCACTCAATTTGATCTAGTCTTTTGTTGATGCCGACTAATAGAGTTTCATTAAAAAGGTCTTTAATTACGTTTTCAATGTTGCTAACTAGGTTTGAACAGTCCTGTGGCTTTAGTAGGTGGCCTAGCGTCTTTGCTTTCATAACTTCATGCATACCTGAGCAGTCGTCACACATCCACTTGATTTTAGTAGAAAGTTCTTGGATTTTCTTATATTCCCTCGTGTCAATATTGACACACGTCGAATGGTGCCACTTGTCACAGTAACCATCGCACTGAAGGCCTTTACCACTATTTTCTACGATAAAATTGCACTTAGGACATACAGCTTCATCTTCACCTGCCGCCATCTTGTCTACTTTGGGTATTATCCGGAGGCCACCCTTATATAGCGCTCTGCGTTTGTAGGACTAACCTCGTTTTGTTATGAATCAAACGATACCAGATGAGGCCCACCAAATCCCCTCCAAGTAGGCCAAGGTCAGGTCGTTGACCGGAGTGCGTGCATCACCTGTCACCACCTTGTACCTGGGTCAGTGTCCTGAGTGATGACTTTTTGTTGTATCGTTTGATTCATAACGAAACGAGAAAAGTCCTACAAACATATTGATAACCCAACCTTACATGACCGCCGCAGCGTGCTGTATACCTACTTGGCGGAGTACATGTGGCAGCTAGCGGCGGCGACGCATTATTCAAGAATCAAGAGCTTTATTGTCGTTGACCGTTTACAAGGAATAGACATAGGTAGTCAATAGAAATAAAAACAAAAACTAGAAAAATAGTGGGCTCTAAATTAAAAATCAATATTAACATTAACTCAATCCAACTCAATCCTATGCCGACATCGATGCCTTCTGGGAGGCAGAACTCAAAGGCCGCTAATCATAATTGTGTCAAATTTGGACAGTGAGTCGATTAAAGTATGTTCTTTCCAATTATGTAGTTATTTTTGGTCTCCCGTAAAAAAATCTAAAAAATAAGTGGCCTCCGGCTAATACGAAAGTACCCTGATTTCTGATGAATATTTATTTACAGTATCACAATACATCAATAAAATTGACAGGTGAATAGTCAAATAATGCTTATCTAGGCCTAGATATATGAAAATAAAGAACAATAGCAAGTAAAAATAATATAAAACATAATAATTATAAAATGGCATAAACAAACATTTACTGATTTTCAAAAAAAATCTAAAGAATAGAATGCCTTCTCCAATACTCCAATAGCCACGATTTTAAATGGGTTTTTTAAAGGGTGATTTTTGTTTACTTAGTGGCAGTTTATTATAAATTACTAGGTGAAACCCGTCAAAATCGACGGTTACTTTCAAGGCTTACGCTAATTACCTAATCTAACTGCGCTAAATTGAGTGAAATTATACATATTTCGAGCATTTAGCACTGTTTAAAAATTAATAAGTGTAAAAACAATAGTGATATTAATTGCGTTAGTTACCAAATATGGTTGATCATTCAATGAATAAAATATTTTCCATACTGTACTGGAGGACCTATTGTAAGCTATAGCATCTGTTATGCCCCATCAACTATCTCAGTAACAAAGAATGAGGAAGAAAATATAATTTTAGACAATAGTGCAATCTATGACTGGCTCTCAGAAATAGGCTATGCTTTTTTTTTTTTAATTGAGCAGTCCATTTAAAGATGGTATGTCTACATACTAGGTTCTATTGTTGCCTATTGTCAATAATTATATGTGACTAGCAGAATACCTGTCCTCCATACGGGATTGGCATATAAGTATAAAGTGCTTATTCAGTTATACTCAAGCTTTGCGTTTGCAATGGGAGAGGACTCAGTATGGTAAAATTTGGTTCTTTAAATTTACGGTAAGCAATAACAAATCTACCATAGCCATAACATTCTACCACTACACCTACACAATAGAACAGTAAATTATAAACGATGCGCACGATATCACAATTTATTCATTAAATTTAAAACGTAAACATTACTGTAAACAATCCTACTTTGACAGTTCTAATTGCATATCACAGCTTTTTGTTGCTGCTTAGTTCAAATTAGCTGTTGTAATAAAAGACAAAAAAGTGCTGCACCCCGTTGGTAAACCTTATAGCTTTTTAATGATATTGCATATCATAGAACCAACTCAAATAGTTGAAACAGCTGACTAAATTCTTCAATTCCTTTTAACCCTTTCAGTGCTATGCAACGATATATCGTTGTGCGTCTTTTTCCTGAAAAGTGCCATGGAACAATATATCGTTGTTCGCGTTTCATCCGAAAAGCGCTAAGCGATGATATATCGTGCCGACACGACTTTTGATTGTGTAAGATTAGATGGGCATATCGATTGACTCGGTTGTTGTTTTGAAACATCGATGGTTTCTTTTAATTCCTCATGCAATCTCGGCCCGATATATTGTTCTTTAGCACTCGTGAGATAACAAATTTTATTTTTACCAATTTATTTTCTCGCACACTAGACTTAGCCCCTGTGGCAAGCCTAGCGCTTTTCGGACAAAATAAGTAAATAACTCTAGCATTTTTTGGAAAATTACAAAAAAAATATTCTAGCATCGAAAGGGTTAAATATGAATACTCATAAGGTGGGAACTACAGAGCCACTGGGGCAGAGCCCGAAAGGAATTTTTTAGATAAGAATAGGGCTATATGTTAATCGGGAATGTGAGCTATCATCATGCCTAATTTCAGCCCAATCTGTCCAGTAGTTAATGCATGATTGAACTTTAAACAAACAAATAAACAAACATACAAACTTTCACATTCATAATATTAGTAAGATAAGATAAGATATAGGCCTAAGCAATATGATTGTCTCCATTTAATAAATTGACCTGACTTAAGAAACAGTAAGTTTTTTACTGATCTATTCAGTAACAAAGCTACAGATCTCATACTATTTTACACATTCCTTGTACACAGTAGACCCTCTCTAATCCGGCACTCCAGTCATCTGGCGTCTTTTGACAGGTGACATCTTACGCGTTCTTGGCAAAATTCTGATCATCTCCCGCAGCCGTGTAGGCTTCATCATCTAATCCCGCGGTGACAGAAACGTCATCGTTGTCTTTCACAATAGCAGCAAAATCATGCACATCTCCCGCAGCTGTTTAGACATTAGTATCGCCTCCTGCGGTCACGAAAACATCATCATCCTCTTGCGCGATCGCAGCAAATTTTGAACATATTCTGCGGTCATGTGGACATTATCATCGCCTCCCGTGGACACGGAGACGCCATAATTGTTATGCGCGATCGCGGCAAATTTTGAACATATTCTGCGGTCATGTGGCCAATTAATGACCAAACATTGGATCTAACCAGAATTTTTAAATAAAATGTGTTAACACCCTGTGTATATCCTAAAAGTAGACTCAGTTTTAATTCATCGCTCTCTTGTGCAGCATCCTGCTCTTCTCAGACAATGTGCAGATGGAGTTCCACGGCCAGGACTCTGCTGCGTTTAAGGGCAGCAAGACGGGACGTCTCTACTTGACCACTCATCGGATGATCTTCAACAACAAGAATCTCAGTGACCCCATGGTCTCATTTAGCTTCCCTTTCTGCACAATCAGTGACGTGAGTTGTCAATTATTAATGAATTAGTTTTCTAGTAGAATCAAACAATCTGATACGAAGCATTGTGTGATTTCTGATTTGTGTAGATGGTGGCTTCAAAAAAAAATTTAGGGGAAAATTTGTTTTTTATTATTAGTAGGCTATAATTTGAAGTTAAAATACTGGTAGGCTAAAATGATTTGCATGATAAATTAAACCTAAGGCATGGGGAGCCCTAAAATGAGAGTCGAAAGGGTTAAAAATAGAATCTCCACAGTATGTCATGTACTGTGTTCCAGTGTATGGTTGTTATGGCATGGTTGTATGGCTGTAGTTCTACAATACACAGGAAGCAGCAAGCACGAAACAGTTGCTAACAAGTTTTTATAGTTGTGGACAGGGTATCTCCGGACCAGGAAAAGGAGACCTACCTGCCTCGGCTATTGTGGAGTTGCCCGACCGACCGACCCTAATTAATGTCGCTTGGCTGCGCTCAACGAAAACAACAACTAGATACCCAATACCATAAACTTAAGTTAATTTATTTACAAAAATTATTAATATTGATTATCATATCATGTTATGTTTTGAAATGTCGATTATTTGGATACTAAATTTGATGCAAATCGGCCAATTTTGACCATTTGTGCCACCAAACTAGTTTTTCTTTTAAAGACTAATTTTAATAAACAATGGAAATTGAATATAATTTACATCAAAGCGTGAGCATATGGGGGGATAACAAAATGCATATGTATGATTGTATTAACGTTTTATTCCGTCATAACCTAAATAAATAGCTCGTTTGAATGAATAGCTGGTTTCAAGAAAACTTTTGAATCATAAATACTATACTATGTAACTTTTTTTATTGTACTATATTTACAAAAGAATCAAAAATTGCGGGTTTGTTGTTAAAATAATAAAATTTTAGAATCACGTTTTCTATGTTGCTTAATTTTATATTATATTTCACAGGCGGTATTATATTCACATGCCTATTAACCTCTTGGAGTCCGGTTTTAGCTATGTCAGTGATTTACTGCAGTCCGGGTTTTTTTCGATGAAAATGTAGATACTTTTTTAAAAATTTGTATAAAATCAGTAAATAGTGTAAACATATCAATATATATATTTATTTTGTTTGCAATGAAGAGAGAAATCAGAAAATAACATAAAAAATTAAAAGTTTTAGAGTTTTTTTTGTTTTTTTTAAAAAAAAAAAAACAAAAAAATCGAACATAAATTTCAAAAGTAATGGTTCTGTAAAAGTACAAATTATTTGATATTAAAAATCTATTATATACATCTGTTAGACAATTTAATTCCTTACATAGAAATATATACAACAACTAAAGAATACTATATTTTACACGAGCTATGTTCAAAAAAACGAAAAAGCGTAAATCGCAAAAATGTGACTTTGCACGCCATTTATTGTAATTTAGAAAAATAATTTTGAAAATTTATAAAAGCTGGTAGAAAGTTACATTTTGTAATCTAATGTTATAATTTAACTTATAAATCGTGTAAAGCACATAAACACACATATATATATAATATATATATATATATATATATATGTATATATAGTAGGCTATATGTTTGCAATGTCAAGGTGGGAACAGCAGCTTTGACATAAAATTATGTTAGGCTGAAGCCTAATTTGTACCAAGCCTACTACAAAATCATATGTAAAATAAATAAAACCCAAGAAAGAGACATTCAACTTACTTTCTAAAATTGTTGGAGTGTGTGGTAGTCCTTCATGCAAGGGTACACACAAAGAGGAACGCCGCATTCAGTACACATGTACGGTGTGTCCTTCCTTTTCTGGGGCCTAAGCTTAGTGTTTGAACAAACATGGCAGTAGCGACGAGGTTTCAACTTTTTATCAGTTGGTGGGATCGGTGTGAGGAAGTGTCGTTGGGTGAGACGGAGTGGAATCTCGCCTTTTGATGGTCGCCCACCTTGAATATTGGTTCTCATCACACAGTGATGTTCTAAAATCTGCCTGACGAGCTCCCTGCGATAATCTGATAGCTGCAAATTCTTGTTTCTTTTTTGGACTTCATTGTGCAGAATATATGAATTTCTGATTGTTACGTCCAAGAAGTGGAAAAAAAGTTTCTTGTACCACTTGATACTTTTTCTTGCAGAACAGTTGAAGGACAGTTGCATATCACCAATATCGATAGCCCCCATGTTTTTGTTGTAGTCCACCACTGACAAGGGCTTTTTGATTTCCTCCCCAGTTTCCCAGTTGTTTTTCCCTATGCCAATCATGTCGCTGGTATGCATCGTACTTAGCATCCTAACCTCTCTTTTGTCTTGCCAACGTAGGTACATCATATTTTCTGTACAATGTACATCTGTTTTACCTACATCTAAGGGGGCTAGTTTTTTTGGTAAACCCTGTCGATTGGGATTGACTGTTCCACACATGTTTGTGTTGCGCTTCATCAGTTCCTGAGCTAGTGACGGTGAAACGTACCAATTATCCAAAAACAATTTATGCCCCTTATCGAAGTAGGGTTCTGTTAGTGTTAGCACCACTTGCCCCGTCATGCCTACTTTTTCTTTTAATTCTGCAAACTCAAGTTCCGTTTCTGATCCTAAATAGGGAAGGATGTTCAAAACATAGCCTGTTAGACAGTCTGAGATCACAAACATTTTGATTCCAAATCGTGCTCGCTTTGAAGGAATGTACTGTCTAAAGGCTAACTTACCCTTATAGAGAAATAGCGTCTCATCTATCGCCAGTTTTTCAAAGGGCTTGAATTTAGATGCAAACATTTTGTTCAACGTACATAAAATTGGTCGAATTTTGTGAATCCTGCCAATTGATTTAGGATTGGGCACAAAAAATTGGTTGAAATGAAGGGTTTTCAATATATTTTTGAAACGATTCCTACTCATAACCTGCCCAAAGATCTTTGTTTCCAGTAGTGAATCTGTAGACCAATAATCATTTATTTTATTTTTTCGGACCTGAGACATTAGAATACACAAGGCGAGGAAGCAGAGAATCTCATCCTCGTCAACCGGTTTCCATGTACTTAGCTCGTCAACAGAAGCATAATTTGGGAGTTTGGTAATTACATCTGTAAAATAAGAATTCGTTTCTGATACAATATGAGTTATCAGTTCCATGGTAAAAAGCTGTAAAAACATTTCTAAATACGACGATCCTTTAGGTATGTCATTATCGATTCCGGATGTTGTGTTGTCAAATTCAAACAATGTGGGAGAGAATGTCTGGTTTGACTTCCACGGGAATGTTATTTCTGGCTTCTTATTCCCTTTATTTCTCTTTTTTTTAGCTGCAAGCACAGGCCTAGCAGGTCTACCTGTTCGTTTATTATTACGCCTAGGCCTAACTCTAATATTAGTCACAGGCCTATCTGTAGTGTTATGCCTATGTTCCTCAGCAGTAAGTGAGTCTAAGCCTATCATTGCATCATCTTCAGCCTCATAATTTTCTTGGTCAGCAACTAGTCCTGGCATTGTTGTTTCACTCTCATTTTCATCTACATCCATATATACAAGGTCTTCTTCATCAACAACTAACCCTAAGTTTGCATCATTTTCATTCTCAGAAATAGGCCTAACACTATTTTCTTCAAAAATATTCTCTATGGTACTAAGCATGTAGTTGTCCTCAGGTAGGCCTAAATCATAATCATTGTTACTTACATTATACACTATTTACATCATTTGGGTCAAAACAACTCGGGCCAGGAATGGAATCGTCGTAGAGGTTAGTTGAACTCGATGCATCTCCTGCAGGTCCAGGAACACTTGTCGCCGTAGATCGTTGATGAGAATAAATAAACCCCTCTTCACTGTCACTTTCACCGTCCGATAAATCACTAAAATCATCTCGAGACAAATATTCTGATATTTCGTTGTCCCGAAGTTTGTTAGATCGCGAATCCATTACACAATGTTTACCAAAACACAAACAAAAACAAACAACTCGCGTACGTATTATTGAGTAACACTAGTGACAGCTGGGAGCGGAACGAAAACGATTCAGAACTAGCAGTGATGCAAGACTAATAGAACAAAACAAAATATCCCATGATTCCCTGGATTCCCCTGAACAGATCAATACTAAACACAACGTATTAGTGTAACAGCTGACAGCAAAAAAGAGCACGAAAATAACAAGTTGACGTCAGCTCGCATATGTGCGGGCGTGGACCGCTGGCGCGACAGTCGTCTGCTCGCATATATGCGAGCGTGGACTCCAAGAGGTTAAGTATTAGTTAAATTTTAGCTACAACTTTCACACTGTGCTCTATGTTTTAATTTATGTCGTGTTGTTTTTCGTACTTTGTGCCTTTGCATTTTGATAAATTTAGAATCAGGAGAAATATTGCACAGTTAATCAAGTTACTGATTAAAATTATGTTTTCAAACTTGTATTCAAACGATCTATTTATTTTGGTTATGATATAATAAAATGTTAATACATACATACGCATTTTGTTATTCCTCCATATGCTCAAGCTTTGATGTAAATTATATTCAGTTTTCATTTTTTATTAAAATTAGTTTTTAAAAGAAAAACTAGTTTGGCTGCACAAATGGTCCAAATTGGCCGATTTACATAAAATTTAGTATCAAAATAATCGACATTTTAAAACAAAACATGATGTGATAATCAATATTCATAATTTTTGTAAATAAATTAACTTAAGTTTATGGTATTGGGTATCTAGTTGTTGTTTTAGTTGAGCGCAGCCAAGCGACATTAATTAGGGTCGGTCGGTCGGGCAACTCCACAATAGCCGAGGCAGGTAGGTCTCCTTTTCCTGGTCCGGAGATACCCTGTCCACAACTATAGTAGTGCCAAATGCAAGGAAAATCTAGGACAAAAGACCTGGATACGTCAACAAAAATGTTGCAAACCCTGAATGAATCGCATATTACAGTTGTATAAGACCATAGTGCTGTTGGCGCAAGAACATCCCTAAACAAAAGCTAACCTCACACTGAACAATGCAAGTTAGCACCTTGTGTAATTGCATGATTAGCAGCAAACGTGTTAATGCTTGTGTACACTTTGACATTAAAGAGTGCATTACTATTTCTGTTAAACAAATTAAAGGATATAGTAGGCAATAGTAGTACAATATAATGTAGTAGGCTTATGCGTGGATTCATACACTCTTAAAACGATTTTTAGTATTTTATTCAATCTTTTGTATTGTGTGTTTTGTATACTACAGTTTTAATAGTTCACACTGACTCAAGACCAAGATAAAGATGGAAAAGACAATTAGTATTAAAAAAAAACGCTGCGGACAAGCCTTTTTTTTAAGGCTTATGCAGTTTGGTATTGTAAATCCATTGTATATGTGCTGAAAAAAAAAATACTGGTACCTTTTGTGTCTGTGGTCTATAAATGTAGGGTTTTTGTAACTGCCACCTATTCGGTACTGGGAAGTGAGCTGGAATCACAAATTGCTTTTTTATCCATGCCTATGCTATAACGTTGCAACGTTGGAAACTGTTCTGGGCTAGAGCGTTCTAGGATGTGGATGTGGGATAAAAAAAACCTTAAAAGAAAACATATTCTGTATTATACATCTGTTTATGGGAGAAAACCATCTTTAATTTGTCTTTTTTTAATTACTTCACATAAAGAACTGTTCATATCATCATTATAATTATTTCAATACCGTAGTACTGGTAACCTGTTGTAATAACTTCTAACATGACAGTGAAATAAGTGTACTGTACCTGATAAGGGATCTGATATCAGTTACTGCAAAACAATGGTAATGCATAACATTGGTAGTTTACACCTCTCTAGAATATATTATAACCTAGCAAAATACACGATACATTCAGTTTTATGTAAAATTTAAAGCATGAGATTTTCATTATTGCCATTTTATTATTCACTATACAGTTATGTAAGGAACTCTATCTGCATATTATGTGATTGATATCAACCATATAGTTTTAGCGAATTTCCCTATAGGGAAGTAGCTATTACCGTAGGTCTCATGGTAAGACTTAGGCCCGGGACCGATTTACTTTTTCATTTTAATGTCCCCAGAGGCCAAAAACACCATTCGTTCAAATTTTTATATATGTATATATATATATATCTTTATATATATATATCTATAAAAGAGGAACTATGTATGTATGTATGTGTGTGTGTATGTGTGTATATACGTTATGGACTCCGAAACCGCTAGACAGATTGTAATAAAACTTTCAGGCATTGTTAAGCATCTTTCAAGGATGGTTCGAGTGAAGTTTGGTGCAAATCCGTCAAAAGGGCTCTGCCCTAGAGGGTTTTAAGTGGGCCAATGTCAGACTTTTTGATCCACAATGTTTACAAATGAATATAATTTAAAAGCAGATGTTTACTTTCACCAACTGTTTTGTAGGTTTGAATAATCACAACATTCTGTATTAGCATTAGTCATGATTTGAAATAGTGCCACAGTGTTTCTACAGAGTGCAGCACAGAAAACTATTTTACTTTTTAATAAGTCCAAATGTATTAAACCCCAATCGCAGCACACCTGTGCACTCAACAACGTTTAAATTCTCCAATGTTAAATATTAAAACATAAAAATCTTTATCAAAGTATTATGAACAATAAAAGAGATGACTTTTTTTAATTTATGACAACAGTTAATTTGCAACCAAATGGTGAGTGAGCGTAGCGAACGAACATCAACCTGGAGGCGAGTAAGCGTAGCGAACGAGCTAACCTGAAAACAAGTGAGCGCAGCGAACGATTTCCAACCTGAAGGTGAGTGAGCGTAGCGAACGAACTTCAACCAGGACGTGATTGAGCCATGCGAATACTTATGAAGTTAAGCGGGGCAAAGCCCGCGGGTACAGCTAGTAGATTTATATAAAGGGTGAGTGCACCAGTGAATGACCACTCCCCAGTGAATGACCGATTTGTATAAAAAAACATCATATCAGGCTTTCTGTTTTTCCTAGTCTATCACAAACAGTTTTAAAAGTAATTTGAGGTCTTATTAATATACACTCTTTGACTTATTAAAAATGAAAGTATCAACCATCCTTTTGTAACATAAACAAAATTAGATGTTTCAAAGCAGTTCATTATTAAGCTTCCCACTATGGCGTCTCGCACAAACATGGTTGGTTGTAATTTGTCATGGTTCCTTAATTATTGATTGGAACTGTAGTATATTACATGTAATTCACAGTTAACATGTTAATGTATAATTCTGTACTAATTTAAAGATCAAAATCCTAACCAATCGTATATTTAAACAGCCGGTCAGTTACTGGTTCACAAATTAGGGTATAACCAGTGAATGACCGTTTCGTTAATTAACTGGATTTGAGTCAATTTTCTGTATTGATATTGATTAAAATGTTTTCTGATGGAGTAAGCCATTGCTAGGAAACACAAAATCTCATCAGAAATTATGTGGATACACTATAACCAAAGTTTGAATGCGAGTTCAATCTTACGGCCATTTCCTAGATAAAAAGTTATCCTTCACTAGAACCAATATTTTAACGACCCTGATATCGTTATTTTTCACTACAGGGTTTACAGCTTCGATGCGAAAATCTTGAACGGGGGTCATTCGGTGAAAAGGATGAGGTTTAATACAATTTTAAAATTGTTATATAATATGCGGTCATTCACTGGTGCGATGATTTATGTGCAAAAAATTGTATTTTTCGATACTTTTTATTAACATAATGCATTAAGTTGTATAATCGGAAAGTACAGGAAAGAATGGGCAATATATTTTAACGATTTCGTACAATGTAGCTTAGAAGTAGTTTTTCCCATGTCGTTTACAAGTAGAAAGTCAACCTTAAGCGGTCATTCACTGGTGCACTCACCCTATATGTGTCCGTGAACACGATAACTTGAGTAATTTTTATCCGATTTTGATGGAATTTGGTTTGAAGGTGTAAGGCGGGATAAACTTGAATGAGTTCGCGATCCAGCATGATCGGACCATGGGAACAGGGTTTTATGGGGTAAAAATTGATTTTTCTCACTTCTTACCCTCAAAACACAAAATTTCCCAATTTTTCTCTAAACCTTCTTAAAGAGCTTAAAAAAAACAAACAATTCAGTATATGAAAGTGTTTTTGTACGGTTATTGGTTACGGAGAAAACTAAAAAAATGGTAAATTTAAAATTCCCATGTTATTCTTATGGAGAATATTGTAAAATGTTGTAGTTTGCTTGTTTATGGATATATTTTGATCAAACTTGGCAAATTTATTTATTTTATAGTAAGCTATCAATATTTTACTAAAAACACACTACTTTATTAGTTTCCTTGTAGCAGCAAACCTAGGTACTCGTTGAACCTAATGTTATTTAAATAGATCAATTGAAAATCAATTCGGCCAAATGGAAATTCGCTTAGACGGCAGGTTTGCTGCGGCGGGGGTATTTTTGAAGTATGATGTAACTGAGATAAATTAATTGTACATTTGTTATTTAGTAAATCAATTAGTCCATTATTAATTGTAGAGTTGGGAAGTTTAGTTATATAAAGCAGATCCCCCGTAGAATGTTATATAAGTAGTGCATATATCAAGTTCCAGTCTCGGACAGGTTTCAAGGTCAATATTAGCATATAGGCTTACTCTAAACAAGTTCGAGGAGTTTACTTGAGTGTTATGTTAGGTCATGGCTAAAAATATTGTGGGAGCCTTATTTTCTGGTTTACTTTATTGAAATGTTCTTTAACTTCTTATAAGCTTTACTTTATTATAATTGTTTATAAAATTGATGTTTTAATGATACAATTATAAAAAGAAGCTTGTAGTTGTTATTTGGTATGGAATTAGTCTAATTGCATTTGTTAGGTCTTGTAATCGATTCCTTAGTTAATAGCCTACCTTATGCACTTGATTATAAAACAAAATTATTATAAATGTTGTAGTGATTTGTAGAGAGTGCTCCTATTTAGAGACAGTTCTCATCACTTGAGAGAGCTCTCCATATTTTGCTTCTAGATTTGTTAAACTTACAAACAACTCAGATTATACAATTGTCATATTGCTAAAAGCTATTGATGATTGATTGGTGGGATTTCTGTATTCGTTCACTTCATCTTTCACTCAATTTTCATCTCATCATTACCAAAAAGTAGGCTATTGTTTTTTTTCATCTCCGTCATTTGACAATGCAACACTCTGATAACTGGACTTACTGTGGTGAGTGACTTAGTGGGTACTGTACTGAGTGATGATAGTGCTTGATTGAGCATTGCTTGTCATAACGCCTCTCTCATACATGTGCTATGGAGCTGCTCCCCGCATATTGATGACATCCTACTGATTCTCAAACAGGGTGTGCATTATTGACAGTGTGGAGAAAGATGAACATTGTAGTCCTATTTTTAAGGACCTCAGAACAGAATACTTTGTTTCTGTTTGTTTATTTGTATATCTTTGTTTTCTTTACATAAAGTAAAATTTATCACTCGGTGAGTAATGTACACATTGGAGACTTGACCTTACTTTGCTAAATATTCCTAGAATAGACTGCACAAAACAGACTGTACTGCCCTTAAAAATTCTTGTAAATTGCCTGACCTTTAAAACAAGAGTTTTACATGTAAGATGATGCCAATTTCTAAAAGTATTCACTTCTAAAATGTAATGAATTCTTCACAACAACTTGGACTGTTTTATCTTGTGCGAGATTGATTTTCCACCCAGATTCTCTTAGTCACTGTGCTCTTTAGTTGTCATGCATTTCATTTTTTAATCACCTCAGTTTTTAAGTAAGTGATGTGAACTGACCCTGACAATTTGCAATGTTCCACAGGTGGAGTTGGAACAGCCTGTGTTCGGGGCTAACTACATCAAAGGCAAGGTCCGAGCACAGCCCAACGGCAACTGGGTCGGTGAGGCCAAGTTCAAACTAAGCTTCAAGAAGGGAGGAGCCATAGACTTCGGTCAAGCTATGCTCAAAGCCGCTCAAATGGGTAAAAGCAAATGTAAACATTTTGTTGCTCACTAGCTTAATGTTAAAAGTGTCCAGCCATTCCCCCTCCCTTAGCTAAGCTAAATGTGGACTGTGTTGGTGAGACTAGTGGTAAAGTTATTATGTGTAAAGTGTAAACAGTCCTGGTCTAATTATTTTTGGGGATAGCAGATTGTTTTTATTTATGTCCTATGAACTTGCTTCTTATTTTCTAAAAAACTAAATTTCTCGAATATGATGTAAAATGAAGAGCATGGTGTTTATTCTTCTCCTCTTTGCTTTGTTCAAGGTCAGACAAATTACTCGAGTCATCATAATTGTTATGTGACTCATTGTTTACAATCACATTATCAGTACTTTACTATCAACCATTGGATGTTTATCCAGCATTAAATATTTAAATAGCTTACTTGAAAACACAAATGATACACCTTTCTAGTTTTAATTTGTAAAAAAAAATTTAAAGCTTTTCTATTAGTTAATAAAAAGTTGTTTAAACATTACTTCCTGGCCACCATAAGGCCTGAAGACATCACTCTTATCAACCTTTTTCAAATGCTGATAATTCTTAACTACTGTTAAAAAATAGTATTCATAGATATAATGTTTATTCTGTAGACAGACATTTTTATTCATCTTGGTAAAGATATCCTCTGACCACCTATGCTAGTTTATACATGCTATGAAAACCATTTTTTTCGTCTAAGAAGTTTCTGGATTGTTTAAGTGTATGTGTTCCAAGTAGCTTCAGCACACTCAGCAGGGTAGGTGAGTGGTTATAATTGTGTACGATCCTGAGAAAAAGTTTGCTCATATAGAGGTTCAAATAGACCCGTTTGTGTCTCCACCTTACATAGTATTGTGAATCTTTTGTAATATTGATCAAAGTAGTTGACCATTTTGTTGTTACAGCCACTCGCAATGGAGTGCCAGACGCCCCGCCACCATACATGCCCCCGACAGGACCCTGGTACAACGCCCCTCCCCCTGCCTACGCCCCACCTGCTGGGGGCATCTATGGGTGGAACAGCAACGTCACTGGTTTCAACACACCCCCGCCACGTATGTAGCTATCATGTTTTAGGAAGTATTGTTTAGGGTTCATTAAGTCAAATTTGAGTTGATGCAAAGAAAGAACAAGATAACTGTTAGAACCTAATGAGTTTGATATTGGGCAAGTTGAAATGTCACTTGTTACATTTTTAAAACTTTTAATTTGACTAGTTATTAGTTTGAAGTTTGAATAGATTTACTTATAACAGTGAAAAATGGATTAAACAACTGCCTTTGGCAAATCCCTGCATTGTATTCAGCAACTAGTTTTGGCTCTGAAATTATACCAACATGCACATGAAAATCTTATTTTAATCATTCCTGAACACTCACATTTTAAAACAAAACAGTACATTTTACGGAAATATAAATATCAGCTGATTTGGCCAGAAGCAAACCCAGTTGGAGTTTATTCTGGACTCGACACCATCATAAAGTTAAAAAAGTTTATGAAGTTCATACAAGTATCTTTAAATTATATAAAGTTAATCAGGATCACAAAAACCGTAAGCCGCACACCTATCAACCGCATACTTGAATAAAAGGTCTTGATGTGAAACTTCTCTTTAAAATATCAGTTTTTCAATAAACCCTCTTCAATCAATTATCAGTTAGGGCACAACCTCAATATTAAAGGGCTCTATTCAATCCCCTTAAAAATATTGACAATGCATCAGCTGTTAGATTTGTTTTTATTCATAGTTTGTTTGCTTTTTCTATAAGTTAATATTTTGATTCTCAATATAGATGTTTACATTACGATAAAGTTACTAGTTTTGATTCTGCCAAATAGTTTAACACAAATTCCCTAGAGATTTTCGTAAAATAAACAATAAGTACATTGAGATTTGCCTTTATAATTTGCTTGGTATGTGTTAATACTGAGTAGCCTAACTGTTTTTAGATTTAGAGACCCACATTATTCTCGTAAGAATTCTTGCCCCGTTGCAAAGGACAAGAGAAATGTCTTCATAATGCTGCGGTGAAAATATTATATATGTAGGTAACTAAATGAGAATTTAAAATATTGAATCAAAACCTCAGTAGGAAGAATGGTGCCAACAACCCATCATTGGATGTTGGTCTGGTTTTGCAAATGGCATTAAGTTGATAACTTGTATCAAATAAATTAAAATATAAAAATCCCTTAAATAGAATCATATCCAAGGTTTTAGTATGTACATCAGTTTGTACTGATCCAAAGTTAAACATTGTTTACAAATTTGAATATGCTGACTTTTCTCGAACTGTTGTTACCTCACTTTTTGTGTTGTTGCAGCCAACACAGTATACATGGTAGAGAGCCCCCCACCATACCCGGGTATCATGCCAGGGTACAACGGGTATGCCTCCGCTCCCCCCTCCGGTGCCACTGGGTTTGCACAACCTCCCCCTTGTCCAGGTGATAAATACGTTAGATATCTTCATTGAATAAGAAGAGTTGTAAACATCTTATCCCCATGTTAAAAAAAGTTGTTGTTTGTATGTTTTCCAGGGTGTCCACCGACTGGGAAAACCGGGAATTATGCGTGATATTTATGAACCAGGAAAAAACCGGGAATTCTGCGTGAATTTTGTATTTTACCGGGAATTTTTTGCCGCGATCGTGCATGACGACAATGACGTTCCCGTCACCGCGGGAGACGACGATGACGTTCCCGAGATTGTGGAAGACGACGATGACGTTTCCGTGACCGCGGGAGACGATGACAACGTTTCCGTGACCGCGGGAGACGACGATGACATTTCCGTGACGGCGGGAAACGACGATGGCGTTTCCGTGACCACGGGAGACAACGATGATATTTCCGTGACCGCTGGAGACGACGACGACGTTTCCGTAACTGCGGAAGATAACTAAAATAGGGAGCTGTGTTAGCGCTAAACCAGCATTGCGGGAGTTGGCGCAAAACACGTTGGAAATTTTAGTATGAAAAGTACGACCTGAACTACCTGGATTTTTTTTTTTTACTCATGAATTACTCATGAATTGTTTGTGGTTGGCCTGGTGGACACCCTGTTTTAATGTATTTTTATTGTGTTCATTTTTTGTCTGTTTGAATAATGTAAGCAACTTATCAGTCAGATTTTAAATTTCCAAACAAAACAAATAGTTCTATGTTGTATTGTAATTTTTAAAGTGGTTTCATTACTAGATTTTCTTAAATTTATTATATTCAGGCTAGTATTCTTCAAAATGCATGCTCTGTGTGGTAGTGCATATCTATTGAGTTGTTTCCTGTTAACTATTCTTAACAAATTTAGTTCCCCTATCAAGTTTGTATCTTGTCGCCTACCAATTCCAATTATTAATATGAGCTTGCCCTACTAGTTTATCTACTGACAACCTTTAAACTTTGTGAAGTGTCACCTAGACACAATTGTTGATTAGGATTTGCGTGTTTCTAACCTCAGTTCAATCCTCTTCACCTGTCCTTCCACCTCAATCCTCTATCTACTTTCCACATGGTTAACTATCAGCTGATGTCGTTTGTTGAACAGCTGATGCCAAAGCCGCAGAAGCTGCTCAGAGTGCGTACTACGACCCAAACCGGCCTCAATGTGCCTACGTCCCCCCGCCCGCATACTATGTGAGTAAAACACACTGTAAAACCATTTATTGGCAAAACTAAGTCTTATACGACCAGTGCTTTGAATATTCCCCAACCCTCTGGTTTTTTATCTTTTTTATGTCCTACGCATGGCAAATAAAACCTTGATAGATTTTTCAAAAGCTACATCCAAAATTGATTTTTACTTCCAGAATACAAAACCTAAATGGTCGTTTATGGATTGAACACAAGTTGTCAGTAATCACCTGGATCTTAATGAATGAATCCATCTAAAGGTCTGACTAGTCTCATTCAGTTGCAAAGCTATGATATTGTTTATTAAATGTTCGTCCATCGCTCATCTTCACCTCAGTAGGTTAGAGTTGCACCAAATAATTTAAACCAGTCAACAAATAAGCAACCATTCTTTTTTTATGATTAATCCTAATTCGACAGATTTTAAACTGCACACTGGAAACCCCGGTTATCTCTTGAAATACCAGTAATTGTTTTACAGGTTCATTTACTCTTGGTTTTTTGTTAACCGTATTTATGCCTATCAATTTGCTTTTTTAGGCACAGTCTTCCTCTGCATTGGAACAGGGTTTTTATTTCTTACCTTTTTGTTTTAATTACATACTTATCAAAGCAAGCCGGTAAACTTGAGTTTTGTTTTGTTCAGGCCTGTTTATTGTTTTAAAGTGTCTGTATTATAAACTTTAGATTTTTCAGAGTGATCATTTATTTCATTACTGTTTAACATGTATGTGTAGTATTTTCTTTTATTTTATTAAATTTAAGTTCCTAATAGATTTCCTCTCATTATTCCAAAGCAACACATTCTCAAGTATTTATATATTTGTGTTTGTTTTGCAGGAATCCCCTCCTCCATACCAAATGAACGGGGAAGCCAAGAAAGAGAAGTGAAGAAGTAAACGAATGCAGCTGCATAACTATATTGGGATATTTCATTTAGTTATATCTATGATATTTTATATTCAAATCACTGTAAATTATATAATGTAAACTTAACCAAGAATAATGTACTTTTGCATTCCAGTGTAACTCGATTTTGTAAATGTTGTTAGAGTTGTAAGTATTTATGTTAAGAGTTTTGATTCGTTTACTAAATTAAGTTACTGCTTTGAGAGCTTTTGACACAGGTTTGTTTAGCCAACCGTGTCTTGTGTTTATTAAAGTATTATGTAGCGTTTTCAATAAATGATTGTTGTTTATTTGGTTTGTTTTACTTTACCTCTTCAATTATTATGGTAGTTTTAAGTAATTTCAATTTTTTTCTGTTTTCATGGCTTGTGTTTTTTGTTTACTATTATTTGAAGTCTGCTGCATGAGATTTTATTTTTTCATCTTAAAATCACTAAAGAACAGTAAAAAGACCAGGGTTTGGTCCCCTTTCAAAAACCAAAAAAATGCAAATGACATAGTTAAACACAAAGTAAGAAAATGATCATGAAATAGTAGTAATAGTACCAAAGAGGTGCAAGTAGCAGTTTAATGATCACTCTTAATGTCATTTATAGGTCCACCAAAAGTAAATGTATTGCACATGGTTAATTTAGGCTCTCTTGGCTAAAAAAAACAAGCTGTTTTGGCTTGTTGATGAATCAAAGTAGGCTCCAAATTGTTCTAAAACTTGAATATCTATGGCTCCTGTTGCAGCAAAGTGCGCTAGTTCAAGTCCGCGACAAAAACTTAATGTTCCTTACTTCATTGTTGTTCACTCTTCTAGCTGCCCCCGCTCCCATAAGCAGATCAGTCTCTTCAGTGTCGGATTTACCACTAGGCCAATTAGGCCGCGACAAAAGGAGGCCGCAGAGGATTGGCAAAAGTATTTTTTGACAACAATTTTTTTTTACCCTAAGTTGCCGCGACTTTTTGATTGCAGCCCGCTGGAGTTGTTCATGATTTTGATGCAGTCAGTGACGACATCTCCTTGATTTAGGGCAAGTGTTCACGATTATTCTGCGATCATGGGTGACAATGATGATTTACCCATGATTATGGCCTGCGAGAGATGTTCACGATTTCATCCGTGATCACTGGTGAGGACGATGATGATGATGATGATGACTATGGGAGATTTTTATGATTTCATCGCTATTGCAGGGGATTCCACCACAGGGGTGGGGGCCACTTCATTGATTTGGTCTAGGGTGGCAAGTACCTTAAATCCAGCACCGAGTCTTACTGTTGCCAGTTGACAAATGTGGATGCAGAAGTGTTTTGAATGAAGAAATGCACATGTGGCTTAGGGAGTTGGCTGTACATATGTGCACAACTAGACCAGCAGCAAGTGTTCAGCATGTCGAGACAATGATTCAATATGAGAAAACTTTGGCTCGCTGAGTGTTTAAAACTTCCAAGTCCAACTGTAGAGATTTATTATTATACCCAGTCCAGATGAGGACGCCACCTAGGCGAGTATTAACCCAAATACGAGTGTAGAATGAAATGAGACTAAGTCCAGCTGTTTAATTAGCCAGGACCATTTCATTTGGCCTGATGATTAATGACAGGATTAAGTATAGAACAGGACTTTGGTCTCGGATTTGATCTAGCTCGCTTGGTTGCTGCGACGGACGGTTCTTTTTTTAATACCCCGATTAAATATTGGTTAATATGTTATTTTTATTTCGGGAAACTCTTAGGGAACACAGAACACGAATGAATCAAGGGCGGTCTCAGGGGGGTTGTGACCCCCCCAAAATATTTTTTATATACATAAACTATTATACCAGGGGAACTTTAATAATTTTTATTGTAAATCGATCTACCAAATTGAAATTTATTGTAGTCTTTACACTTGTGGTGAACGAAAGGACTAATTACAAACTCTAACCTAAAACTCGGGATCGTTCGAGTCTGACTATTTTTATAAGTCTTGAAATATCTCCTGTATTACCGGTACTTGACAATTGCTTGCGCTCGAGCAACGAGTACACTTGATAAAAATTCAACAATACATTAAAATAATAAGCTCTCTGTCACGCTGCATGACTAGTAAACGGCAGAAGTAAAGCAGAAAACGGCAGAACGGCGGTATTGGTTGACCATAAACGCCTGCAACGATGCGCTGCAAACCGCGTGACGTGTTTATTAAAGTAGCTATATGAACTGATGAACTGATGAACTGATGAACTGATGAGTAAGCTATATGAACTGTAGTGTAAGTGAGCCGTCTTTATTCCTGAATTAAAAAATAATTCATACCCTTGGCTCATAGGCACTATGAGTAAGTGAACCTTCCTACTGTATTTTTAAATATAAGACACGAGGCTCATAGTCACCATGATCTGTAGAGTAAGTGAACCTTCAATATTATTTACGAGGCTCGTATAGACTATGATCTGTAGAGTAAGTGAGCCATGTGTTTTAAGAATTACATTGAAGGCTCATAGTGTCTATGATTTGTAGTGTATGTGAACCCTAACCTCTCTTCCATGATATAGCAGCGGCTTTTTGCCAATCTACAGCTCTCTAGTGTTCTGTTAAAGCTGGCTTCACCGCAACATGCATATTCCTATTCGCGTGCCCTCTCCAACGTAGAAGTTGTTTTTGTTCTTCTTCTTCTTACATCGTCTTGCCTGTCTGTCTGCCTTCTGTCTTGTGTCTGGACTCGAGTCAAGGATTACTATACTACTAATTTATTGACTTTTGTTTATTATGAGTCGTAAATTCTGTGTAAACCGTGTGGAAAATTACTCATTGTAATTTTAATTATGCTATTTATATGCTAACAATGAAAAGAAACTCAAAAACTAAAGAAATGTTCATAGTTCGTGCATTAGAGAAGATTTTAAGTGATAAGGAAATTAAGCGGTCATACCACTCCCAACTTAAAAAGGCTTGTGAGGTGGCATTAGGTAATAATTATTATAATATGTATTTCACAAGCAAATTGCTGGTATACTTTTAAACGTTGTCTTAGCATTTAATTGCACAGTATTGCAAAGGCATATTCCTTGTATTTAGCAAAACTTGGGTCTATGTACTAGTAAGTTAGGTTGGCTATGTGTGTGAATCTGTTAGTAAAACATGTCCCAGACATAAAATTTAAAATAACACTCTAGGTCCATTTTAGATTAAGGTCTAAATCACATCAAATCAAAAATCTAGGCTATCTAGTGGCCGAAAACCAAACTGAAGTTAGCCTAGATTAGGTAGGTACGGTAGGCCTATAATTATGATAGCCCTTTTGCTGCAAAAAACATGAAGATCCTACCCTATTAGTAGGGTATGCCAGAGTTGCCATCAAGTTATGACTAACTTATAAGTTACAAAAGTGCGAGACTAGGCCTAGCCCAAATGCTATGTTAGGTAGAATCTATTGGCGTAGGCCTTCTACAATTCAGTGGATGCTGTTTTGAGTATTGATATATCTTCATAAAATGAACAAAATACACGTAAATTAATTGGTAAACTTTATTGTAGAACTAATTCAACCCAAAATATAAATGTAAACAACAGATAAAAACAACTATAATCATCTGATTATTTTTGCATATGGCAATCCTCCCCCCTATTAAGCTGCTCTTAGTTGGTCGCAGTGTTTCTTAAATAACCGCCCGTCTTCTGATTTAACGAGGTACATAACATGCCCAAGCGTCCTTTCTACTGTTCCTGTTTGTGTGTACAAACAGACTCCCACAGGCCTTATAAGTTCTCCAGTGTATGTTCTCATTTCCACTTCCGTCTTGAATAGACGTTTATTAAGTTCAAGTTTAAGAAAATCACTGTATGATAATGAGCTCAAAGCCGCTCCAGTATCAAGTTCCATATTCAATGACTTGCCTTCAATAGAAACGTTAATTATAAACTTGTCATTCACATTTGGTGTCCCCATCATGTAAACCTCATGAACGTTGTCATTATCATCTTAAACATCAATTTTATTTTATTTTAACTTGTAAGCGTTTTCACTTGCATTGCTAACCCTGTTGCGTGTGAGACAAACATTCTCAATGTGTCCAATCTTGTTGCACTTCCTACAAAACTCATTTTTAAATTTGCAAGTATCAGCTTTATGTTGAGTAGGGCCTACTGCCGCATCTGTAAAATTTACCTCTTAAATCTTGAAAGGTAATATGCGGTTAGATTTCATTTCTACTCTTTCTTGTCAACCCAGATTGTTTACTCACATAGTTAACATCCTTAGTTTGTTCTGTAACGTAATGAGAGTACTGTACTTAGGTTTTATTGCATAACTTTCCAGTTTAGACTGTTCAATAGAATTGGCCATTTCTACCACTTCTTTAAATGATAAAGTATTTCCTTTTTCTTGAAGAAGCCTAACTCTCGCTTCATTATCTCTTAATCCGCACATGAATTGCATCTTCAAGAACATATCACAAACTGAACGTTCACAGTTGTAACACTTAAAATCACAATCAATTGCCCAACGTTTTAGTTCTCGAGCTTACGTAGAAATTCCCTCTTCAGTATCTTGAACTTTACTGATGAACCTATTTTGGTTAGCAAGTACACTTGGAGTAGGTTCCAAACAGTTTTGCAGTATATCTGAAAGTTCTTCAAACGATCTGTCACATGGTGACTCGCGGGCCATCGCGTCACATAATGCCTGATGCATTTCGGGTGTAAGAGTACTAAGCAAACAGTTGTGTTTTGGTTTTGGACTCTGAGATTTGTTTTAGGTCCTCTCTACTCCTGTTTGCTTAATAGTGACAAAGAATGGTTGTAATAAAGCTCTTGCCTTGCCTCAAGGTATGTTTCCTCTACACCTGTATGGTAATCTTCTTCTCTTTCAATTTCATCTTCATCGTCTGTAGTTGTTATAATCTCTTCGTGTAACAAAGTGAATCTTTTCCACGTTTCATCCAGTAGAGTTTGTCTGCCCAAAGCATCGTATATAGACGAACCTTTGGTTTTCAGCACTTGTAAAGTCCTTGTAATTTGAGACTTTATGATTCCTCTTTGTTGTTTTAATTTTCTAGTTTCATTTTCACTTTTATCACTCGTCGCCATTGATATATCTTCATAAAATATACAAAATACACGTAAATTAATTGGTAAACTTTATTGTAGAACTAATTCAACACAAAATATTAATGTAAACAATAACAGATCAAAACAACAATAATCATCTGATTATTTAAGCATATGACGAGTATATTATGACTTTTTTTCGCTTTTGACAGTTTCAGGTGAAAGAAACCCTAATGTAAGAAAGATGTTCTCATACTAAAATTTGTGTTGTCAAATAAATTACTTTTGGCCTAAATTTTAAATGTATCCAAGGCAAACCTTCTATGTTGTCTATGTTAAACAAGTATCAAGTTTACTCTACTATACTTTTATTTTCCTAATAATCCACATTTTGTGCCTAAAATCTATTGTAATATCTTCTATATATATAATACGCTAAGCCGATTTTTGTGAACAGAACTCCTCCCTCATTTTTGGAACGATTTTGATGATTAAAGTGTCAAAAAAATTGCCCTGATCTGTAGTTTTGCAAAGTGTTTTTCGTTTTTTGATATCTTTATTAGTTTAGGCAGGATCTTCCATCAAAGTTGAGTTTTCTCCCATAAGATTAACATAGGGGAATCTAAATAATTAATTGGAAACTTTGTATCCACTAATTTGTGAGAACAGCTGGGCGTAGAAACTTGGTAGAGGTGTCCAAAGAAAGGTCTTGGTCTGTAGATGAGTTATCAAAAGAAAAACGAAGTAAATTCGCTTAGGGCTCTGCCCCAAAAGCCGTTAAAAATCCCTTCACAGATTTGTTTACATTTTGGTCATGTGGATAATACTTTTTAATAAAACAGCTGTTAATTTTGAAATTGTATTTTAAACAACACACATTTATTGGGGGTTACTGAATTCTCCAAAAGAAGTATTTGCAACTAGCTGTTTGCCCGTTCTACGTACGGGAATCTAGTAGTAAGTTAAAACCTTATATTCAGAACAGGAGTTGGTTTGCATATTTAGTGTGCATTTTTCCAGATATGATGGCAAAACTATAACTGTTTAGGAATACATATAAACCTTCTCAAATACAATATCTGACAGTTTCAAAGCCAAAACGAATGCTTCGCAATTAAATGTCACCCGATCAAGTTAGTCCATATTTTATATCAAACAATGAAAGGAATTGCTTTACAGTATAGATCTATGAGGCATAGCCCTAAGGTAGGCCTGTAATTTAAAGTTACTTTTCACGCTGGTTAAAAGTAGTTAAAACACTACCTCAACCTCACTACTGCACACTTTATTCGGGTTGAAATTTTTATTAACAATGGTGCTCTTGTCTTTTCCAAGAAAAATAAGAGGAGATTAATGCGTTACCAACAGACATACACACACAAATACAGAATTGAGTCCACACAACATTTTTGAGTCCAGACAGAAAACGCTAAAAATTATACAGTAAGACATCAATTAAATTTAATAAGCAATAAGGTGCAGTGTTTATAAATAAATAGTGAAAATAGTGATGTGTTTGTATGTAAAAATTATTCTTACTGCTACCACCGGTTCTAAGGAAAAGTAGCAGTACCAAAAACCAACGTTTACATTTGAGAAAAGAACTGTAGTACTTACGACTAATTCAAACTGTCCTTCTAATCAAACTGTATTATAGGTGTTAATTAATCTGTTGGCAAATCTATATAAATAAAATTAGAGTTTTGTCTGTACATTGCTCAGAATTATATATTTTTTGGTTATTTTTACTTCTTATACATTAAATAAGCAGAAACGAGTCTTATCTCAATTTCTGTCTGTCTGTCTTTCCCTTTGTCTGTAACACTCAAGATGGCATTTTACGCTATCTTCTCCTGGAAAACGAGAGTACCTATCAAGATCCAAGTCATTTTAATGTATTCACTGGATTGGCGAGATTGTCTTTAGCCATTAAAATATGGCCTCACTACTTTGTAAATAATATTACGAACGTTCAAAAATGTAGGTTTGTGCGATTTATGTCAAGTTTTCGTCCAATTTTTATTGCATAATCATCTATGAAATAACGAACAGCTGTTCGGATCAAGATTATTTTTCCTAGCTGTCACTGATATGTTTACAAATGTTGTTTACAAATACCGCAACCTTTTTCAATACGTTTTGAATGTAAATCCCAAGTGATTAAAAACGTTTTTCTTACATAACGGATTTAATTAATCGAAAGTGCAATAATATAGTGTAGTAGTGTAACCGTGTAAATGAAATTAAATAACTAGGCATCATCCAGTTCAGGAACCAGAGATTCTTTGTGTATAAATTGTTCTTGAGTTTTGATAACCAGAAAGAAGACCTTGAATCAGTGTTGTATACGGCTGGGAAACTTTAAATTTTATAATGATCGTCGCCAATGGATTAGAAATATGGTTTCCACTCATTGACACGGCGCTTCAATGGCGGTTGTGTAAAGTGGTAAGTAAAAAATCACAACTGCAGTGGTTGATTGTAACAGAGGCTTACGGATGATGCTAAACTCGCTTTTCTAATGTGTTATTTTCTGTTCCTACCATTGACTATATATATATAGTCAATAGTACCTACTCACCGTGTGATGCAATCGCTGGACCATACAGCCATGCTCTTGGGTACGTACGCCTACCCAATTATTCATAACAAACTGTTCGACGACGATCCTTGATACCGGTACTTTTCCCTAGAATACACGGCCTACCTACTTAAGGAATAAAATTACAAACGTCCAAAAACCCAACGTTGTGTGATTTTTGTCACATTTCCTTCTAATGTTATTAGATAGCCTTTACCAATCATTGTTTAGAGAATAGGTACGTAGGGCCTAATCTATTAAATAACAAAAAGTTGTTTGTATGAGGTTGTTTTTTTTAAAAACTGACACCGATAAGTTTACATTAAAAGTTGTTTACAA